GCACAGGGAGTGAAACCGGGAATCTTCTGGTTAAGGGCGATTTAAGAGAACCAAAAAAAACAAAAAAAAACACACAAAAAAACACTGCTTATTTAAAGGTGCATTGTGTAGCTTTTCTTTTAGGGGTCCGTCACCTAACAGCAGTGTTGGGGAGTAACAGATTACATGTACCGGAGTAATCAGAGTACAGATTATGAGTTCAGTTACAGTTACTGTTTCAGTGAGTGGTAATTGGATTACAGTTACTTTGTTGAAATAAATGGATTACACAGAGGGATTTTCCTGTTTTCATATTTTGGACTAAACCAGGACTAAACCAGGACTAAAATCAGGACTAAAACAGGACTAAAATCAGGACTAAAACCAGGTCTAAAACCAGGACTAAAATCAGGACTAAAAATCAGGACTAAAATCAGGACTAAACTAGGACTAAACCAAGACAAAAAAACAGGACTAAACCAGGTCTAAAACCAGGTCTAAATCAGGACTAAATCCAGTCCTGGTTCAGTTCTGGTTTAGTCCTGGTTCAGTCCTGATTTTAGTCCTGGTTCAGTTCAGGTTTAGACCTGGTTTAGTCCTGGTTTAGTCCTGGTTTAGTCCTGGTCTAGACTTGATTTAGACCTGGTTTAGTCCTGATTTAGACCTGGTTTTAGACCTGGTTTAGACCTGGTTTAGACTTGGTTTAGTCCTGGTTTAGACCTGGTTTAGACTTGGTTTAGTAATGGTTTAGTCCTGGTTTAGACCTGGTTTAGTCCTTGTTTAGTCCTGGTTTTAGTCCTGGTTTGGACCTGGTTTAGTCTTGGGTTTAGTCCTGGTTTAGTCTTGGGTTAGTCCTGGTTTAGACCTGGTTTAGTCTTGGTTAGTCCTGGTTTTAGTCCTGGTTTAGTCTGGTTTAGTCCTGGTTTAGTCTTGGTTTAGTCCTGGTTTAGTCTGGTTTAGTCCTGGTTTAGTCCTGGTTTAGTCCTGGTTTAGTCCTGGTTTAGTCCTGGGTTTAGTCCTGGTTTTAGTCCTGTCCTGTTTAGACCTGGTTTAGATCCTGGTTTAGTCCTGGTTTAGTCCTTGACCTGGTTTAGTCCTGGTTTAGTCCTGGTTTAGTCCTGGTTTAGTCCTGGTTTAGTTTAGTCCTGGTTTAGTCCTGGTTTTAGTCCTGGTTGGTTTAGTCCTGGTTTAGTCCTGGTTTAGTTCCTGGTTTAGTCCTGGTTTAGACCTGGTTTAGTCTTGGGTTTAGTCCTGGTTTAGTCCTGGATTTAGTCTGGTTTAGTTCCTAGTTTAGTCCTGGTTTTAGTCCTGGTTTAGTCCTGGTTTTCTAGTTTAGTCCTGGTTTAGTCCTGGTTTAGTCCTGGTTTAGTTCTTTAGTTTTTTGGTTTAGTCCTGGTTTAGTCCTGGTTTAGATCTGGTTTAGTCCTGGTTTAGTTCTGGTAGAAGACTAAAAAACAAAACGCGAAATGAAAATGAAACTTAAAAAATACATATAACAATAATCATCATCATAAAATATAAACCACAGTGATTTAAATCTAGTCCGTGTGCAGTTTAATAATCCCCACGGAAGTAAAACACCGTTGAAAAGCCCGTGAACGTGCGTTTTTCAGACTAAATCTCCTTTAAAGTGTCAGATCCGTCATGTGAGCCGCTATAAAAGAGCTTTTTCTCTCCTCGTCTTTTGTTGTGCCGTGTTGGGATCGGCGTGATTGACAGCTCTCCCACTGCCACCAAACAATAACAACCACAAATGTCAACGTTAACGCGCAAAAAAAGAACAAAACCAAGGGAAAAACACAAGAAAATCACACAAGTCCAACTCACGGTAAAGTAATCGGAGTGTTTATGTGACATTATTTCTTCTGAACCTGAGGAGAACTTCAGTACATTTGTCGTCACCTGGATTTTTATTTTTTTTTCTCTGTTCAAACCCTCTGATTTCTCTACGTTTCTCCATAAATCTACAGAAACACCACACAAAACTGTTCACACAAACTTCCTGGGTTAAGTTCTGGGTTTAGTCCTGGTTTAGACCTGGTTTAGTCCTGGTTTAGACCTGGTTTTAGACCTGGTTTAGACCTGGTTTTAGACCTGGTTTAGACCTGGTTTAGACTTGGTTTAGACCTGGTTTAGTCCTGGGTTTAGACCTATTTTAGACCTGGTTTTAGACCTGGTTTTAGTCCTGGTTTAGACCTGGTTTAGACCTGGTTTTAGACCTGGTTTAGACTTGGTTTAGACCTGGTTTAGTCCTGGTTTAGACCTATTTTAGACCTGGTTTTAGACCTGGTTTTAGTCCAGGTTTAGACCTGGATTAGACCTGGTTTAGACCTGGATTAGACCTGGTTTAGTCCTGGTTTAGTCTTGGTTTAGACCTGGTTTAGTCCTGGTTTTAGACCTATTTTAGACCTGGTTTTAGACCTGGTTTAGACCTGGGTTTAGTCCTGGTTTAGTCCTGGTTTAGACCTGGTTTAGACCTGGTTTTAGACCTGATTTAGTCCTGGTTTAGACCTGGGTTTAGTCCTGGTTTAGACCTGGTTTAGACCTGGTTTAGACCTGGTTTAGACCTGGTTTAGTCCTGGTTTAGACCTGGTTTAGACCTGGTTTAGTCCTGGTTTAGACCTGGTTTAGACCTGGTTTAGACCTGGTTTAGACCTGGTTTAGACCTTGTTTAGTCCTGGTTTAGAACCAGGTCTAAACCAGGTCTAAACCAGGACTAAACCAGGACCATCCTCTCTCTCTCTCTCTTCTTTCCTCTGCACTTTTCAAATCAAACAGAGATTTCAAAATGGCTCCTCCTCCTCACTTCTTCCTTCTTCCTACTGTTCCTCTCTATCCTCCTCCTCTCCTCTTTTTCTTATTTTTCTTATTCCTCTTCTCTTCCTCTCCCTCTTCCTCTTCTCCTCCTCCTTCTTTTTTCCTTCTCCTGTCCTCCTCCTCTCCTTCTCTCTTCATCCCCCCTCCTTCTCATCTAACTCTCTTCTTCTTCCTCCTCTCTTCCTTGTCTTTTCATCCCCGTCCTTCTCCTCTTCCTCTCTTCTTCCGTCTCCTCCTCCCCTCCCCTCCTCCTCTTTACTTCCTCTCTTCTTCCTTTCCCTCACTTCCGCCTCTTCCTCCTTCTCTCATCATCCCCACTCCTTCTCCTCTTCCTCTCTTCCTCCTCCTCCTTCTTTCTTCATTCTCCTGTCCTCCTCATCTCCTTCTCTCATCATCCCCCTCTCCTTCTCCTCTTCCTCCTTTCTTCTCTTCCTCTCCTCCACATTCTCTCTCCTCCTTTGCTCCTCCTCATCTCCCCCTTCTCCACCTCTCCTTCTTTCCTCTCCTCCTCCTCCTCCCATTCCTCTTTTCTTCCTACTCTACGCCTCCGTCCTTCTCTCCTTCTCCTTTGCTCCTCCTCTCCTCCTTCTCTCTTCATACGCCCCTCTTCTCCTCTTCCTCTTTTCTCTCCTCCTCCTCCTCTCTCTTTCTTTCTCTCTGTTCTTTTCTCCTCCTCCTGCAGCTGTGTCTTTGGACTCCAGATGTGAACACGAGCTAATAGCGCCTAAAGAAAATAAAGACGCCGACACTTAAAGCCGTTTAGAAGAAGATTTACACCCGAGAGAAACAAAAAAAAGAGCGAGGGAGGAGAGAAAAAGAGAGAGGAGAGGAGTGGGAAGAAGAAGAAGAGGGTGCAGCTCTTATAGAAATGTTAAATCCAGTTATTTTCAAACGTTAAAGAGCTCGTACGACGCTATTTTCTAATCTTGAAAACACTGACCATAAGGAGGGCCTGGAGGAGATCACTAAATGACCCAAACATGCAGGGATGAGTGGACCTAAACCTCTTCAGGCTTGTTTCTGATGAGGGAGGGAGCATTAAAACATGACAGGAAGTTTATAAAAATCTAATTTACATGATATAAAAGTTGAGAAGTTGAGACGATCCTGCTGATTATTTCTGTTCGGTTTATAAAAGCAAAACAATCAAACAAACATGATTGTTTTTTAAATTGAAAATTCTGATTCTGACCATTCCAAATCAGCTACAGCTCTAAAGCTGGTCTAAAGCAGGCGTAAACCTTGGTCTAACCCAAGTCTAAACTTGGTCTAAAATCTGTCAAAACTCAGTATAACTCAGGTCTAAACTCGGTCTAACCGAGGTCTAAATTCAGTCTAACTCAGGTCTAAACTTGGTCTAACAGAGACCTAAACCTGGTCTAACCCAGCTCTAAACTTGGTCTAACAGAGACCTAAACCTGGTCTAACCCAGCTCTAAACTTGGTCTAACAGAGACCTAAACCTGGTCTAACCCAGCTCTAAACTTGGTCTAAACAAGGTCTAAACTTGGTCTAAACTCAGTCTAACAAGGCCTAAACTTGGTCCAAACACCTCTAAACTCGGTCTAACCCTAGCTCTAAACTTGGTTTAACCCAGGTCTAAACTCGGTCTAACCCAGGTCTAAACTTGGTTTAACCCAGGTCTAAACTCGGTCTAACCCAGGTCTAAACTTGGTCTAACCCAGGTCTAAACTTGGTCTAACCCAGGTCTAAACTCGGTCTAACCCAGGTCTAAACTTGGTCTAACCCAGGTCTAAACTCGGTCTAACCCAGCTCTAAACTTGGTCTAACCCAGGTCTAAACTCGGTCTAACCCAGCTCTAAACTTGGTCTAACCCAGGTCTAAACTCGGTCTAACCCAGGTCTAAACTCAGTCTAACCCAGGTCTAAACTCGGTCTAAACTTGGTCTAAACACCCTTTAAATACGATCTAAACTCGGTCTAAACTTGGTCTAACCCAGGTCTAAACTTTGTCTAAACTCAGTCTAACCCAGGTCTAAACTCGGTCTAAACTTGGTCTAAACTTGTTCAAAATGTGGTCCAATGCAGGTCTAAACTTGGTCTAAACTCAGTCTAAATCAGGTCTAAAGTTGGTCTAACCTGTTCCTAACCCAGCTCTACTTGTGGACTACAGCTGTGATCTTTGGGACTACATTTCCCATAGGGGGCGTGGCCTGTAGCTGTAATCTGACCCAGGAAGTGCTCGGGGGGGCTGGTCACGTGACTCGCTGCTCTCCACACGGTGACTGCAGCAGGATCTGGATCTGGATCTGTGTGCGGGATTTACGCTTCCAACTCGACCCTGAGCCCCTGCGCCGGTGAGCACAGCCTTTAACGCTTCATGCCGACGTGTCACTGTCGCTTAGACCAACGCCGCAGGACTCTCTCCATTACCATGCTAGTGTAATGACTGCGGAAGAGAGGAGAGCCGTGCCAAATGCGCAGCGGTTTATTTACACCCCGCGTCCGCGTGCTGACAGAGACTTTCAGACCAGAGTTTATGTAAAACGCTACGAGCAAAAATGAATCGATACTTTATTATTAAGAGTTAAAGTTCGTTAAATCCCCGGTGGTTATTTTGACGCAGAACAAATGTGCACATGTTCTGACACGTTACTCGAGTCTCCAACAAACTCAGACTAACCCGGGTCTAAACTCAGACTAACCCGGGTCTAAACTCAGACTAACCCGGGTCTAAACTCGGACTAACCCGGGTCTAAACTCGGACTAACCCGGGTCTAAACTCGGACTAACCCGGGTCTAAACTCGGACTAACCCGGGTCTAAACTCGGACTAACCCGGGTCTAAACTCGGACTAACCCGGGTCTAAACTCGGACTAACCCGGGTCTAAACTCGGACTAACCCGGGTCTAACCTCGGACTAACCCAGGTCTAAACTCAGACTAACCCGGGTCTAAACTCGGACTAACCCGGTCTAAACTCAGACTAACCCGGGTCTAAACTCAGACTAACCCGGGTCTAAACTCGGACTAACCCGGGTCTAAACTCGGACTAACCCGGGTCTAAACTCGGACTAACCCGGGTCTAAACTCGGACTAACCCGGGTCTAAACTTGGTCTAAACTCAGACTAACCCGGGTCTAAACTCAGACTAACCCGGGTCTAAACTCGGACTAACCCGGGTCTAAACTCAGACTAACCCGGGTCTAAACTCAGACTAACCCGGGTCTAAACTCAGACTAACCCGGGTCTAAACTGGGTCTAACCCAGGTCTAAACTTCAGTCTAGTGTCTAAAAGTCTAAAACTAAATGTAAATATTTCTAAGTGCAAAATAATGGTTCAGACACAAATGAAGTGTGGAAACTACAACTGATACTTTGTGGGGGGTTCTACATGTATGTCTATGGAAGAATGTTCAGCAGTTATCATGTTGACACAATGCACAGATTACCACACGCACACACACACACGCACACACACACGCACACACACACACACGCACACACACACACACACGCACACACACACACACACACACACACACGCACACACACACACGCACACACGCACACACACACGCACACACACACACACACGCACACACACACACACACACACACACACACACACACGCACACACACACACACACACACACACACACAGTATGGACAACAACAAAAAACAACATGTTTCCAGGAGCCTCTTCAGGGTCCTGGTGTTTGAACTGAAAAACTGTTGGATAATTGTCTCTAGTTTGTGACTCTGAGATTTGTTTAACAGCACAGATCAGCTCACTGCTGTGGTTTGATCTGAGTCAGTTATTTTTGGTCTCTTCTGTGGTTTCAGGGTCGGGGTTGGCTGCTCATGCGATTCTCTGACAGTTTAAACTTTTTAAAATAAGAAGTGCAGCTTTGGTTCAAATAACAGAAATGAAGAAGAAATATTGAACTGAACACGACGCTGCTCAGGTTTTACTCGTCTTGTCTTTGCAGTTCGTTCCTAAAGCTGATGTTTGTGTTTCAGGTTCCTGAGGGCCTCTGCAGATCCAGATCATGCCTCCACAGAAGAGGAAGCGTGAGCCGAGCTCCAGCTCACAACAGGCCAAACCTGGAGAAGTGTCGTGTGACTTCTGCTCTGACCCCAAACTGAAGGCCTCCAAGTCCTGCCTGGTGTGTCTGTCCTCCTTCTGTGAGAAGCACCTCCAGCCTCATCTCACAGTCTCTGGGCTGAAAGGACACCAGCTGATGGAGCCTGTGGAAGACCTGGAGGACAGGATGTGTCCCACACACCGGCGCCCCCTGGAGCTCTTCTGTGGCACTGACCAGAGCTGCGTCTGTGCCGTGTGTGTCCTAGAGCACAAGAACCATGAGTTAGTGTCTCTGGAGGAGGCGTGTGAGCGCAGGAGGTCCTCTCTGCTGCAGACTCAGGCTCAGAGCCAGCACATGGTGGAGCAGAGGAGGCAGAAGATCCAGGAGATCCAGAGGCTCCTGGAGCTGAGTGAGACAGAGACAGACAGAGAGAGGGCTGCGGGGCTGCAGGTCTTCACTGCTCTCATGCAGTCTGTTCAGAGGCGTCTGGACCTCTTCTTAGAGGAGCTCCAGGAGAAGGAGAGCAGAAACCACAGACGAGCCCAGGATCTGCTGCAGCGGCTCGAGCAGGAGATCTGTGATCTGGAGAAGAGCAGCGCTGAATGTCTCTCACGCTCTCATGACCCCCTTCAGTTTCTACAGCGCTGCCCTAAACTCAGCGGACTGAAGGAGTGGAGCAGCGTGAGCTTTGAAGCAGAGACGTGTGAGGGCAGTGCAGCCCGCGCTCTGTCTGAGCTCCACAAGAGTCTCTCTGAGGAGTTTAAAGTTCAGTTCGAGGTGGAGCTCAGGAGAGTGCAGCAGAGTGCGGTGGAGGTGACTCTGGACCCGGACACGGCTCACCCTAAACTGGTTCTGTCTAAGGACTTAAAGCAGGTTCATCACAGTGACCAGAAGAGGGCGCTACCGGAGAGCGGGCGGAGGTTCTCTCAGTGCTGCTGCGTGCTGGGCCGGCAGAAGTTCTCCTCGGGCAGGTTCTACTTCGAGGTCCAGGTGGAGGGGAAGAGCGAGTGGGACCTGGGCGTGGTCAGAGAGTCCATCAACACTCAGGGGAAGATCGCCCTCAAGCCAAAGAACGGCCAGTGGGTGGTGTGGCTGAGGAGCGGGCAGTACCAGGCTCTGGCCGGACGCCCCGTGGTCCTGTCTCCACGGCGACCTCCTCGGAAAGTGGGCGTGTTCGTGGACTACAGAGGGGGCGTGGTCTCCTTCTACGACGCGGATTCGGCAGATCTCCTGTACGCCTTCACCGACTGCAGCTTTGAGGAGAGTCTGCTGCCCTTCTTCAGTCCCTGCAACAACGACAGGGGCAGAAACTCCGCCCCCTTGGTCCTGTCGCCCGTCTGTAAACCCGAGTCAGTCAAGTCTGAGCCAGAGGAGCCGTGCACAAAACAGAACAACAATCACAACGATCAGACGAAGAACCAGACAGTTTAACTCTTTAAAGCTCCTTTATTTTGCCAAACTGACTCTTGTGAGCTTTAAATCATGTTATAATGTTGTTTCCTCCTCAAAAACAGACCTGGAGTTGTGTTTTGTTTCATTCAAATCTTGATTAACTCTTTATTATTAGTCTGTCTACATCTCCAAGCTCCAAACATCTCCTTTAATCTTTAGTTCAATCAGAAATTCCAGGGCTGAAATCATCCAAAGTTTAAAACCTCCACTGTGGTTTTAAACTCCATTTTCTAGTGTTGTAGGACTCGAGACTGGTCTTGGTCTTGAGACTGCCCTCAAGACCGTTTTTTTACGGTCTTGGTCTCGTCTCGGACTCGACCGCGTTTGGACTCGGTCTTGTCTCGGACAAGTGATAAAATGGAGATAGATTCATAAAAACATTGATATATTTGAGCCAAAATAACTGTACAATACAAATAAATGTTGAAAAGTACGAAGATGGTTTCGATTTGGTCTTGATGGGCCGTGGTCTCGACCTTGTCTCGATTTTGGCCTTTATAAGACTTGGTTTTGTCTCGGGCTCGACCCTCAGAGGTCTCGGTCTTGTCTCGGTCTTCGTCTCGATCTTGTCTCGGTCTTGTCTCGATCTCGTCTCGGTCCCGTCTCGGTCCCGTCTCGGTCTTGGCCTTTAAGAGGCTTGGTTTTGTCTCGGTCTCGACCCTCAGAGGTCTCGGTCTTGTCTCGGTCTTGGCCTTTAAAAGACTTGTTTTTTTCTTGGTCTCGAGCCTCCAGAGGTCTCGGTCTTGGCTTTTAAAAGACTTGGTTGTGTCTTGGTCTCGACCCTCAGAGGTCTCGGTCTCGTCTCGTCTCGTCTCGGTCTCGGTCTTGTCTCGGTCTTGGACTTTAAAAGACTTGTTTTTTTCTCTGTCTCGAGCCTCCAGAGGTCTTGATCTTGTCTCGATCTTGTCTCGATCTTGTCTCGATCTTGTCTCGATCTTGTCTCGGTCTTGTCTCGGTCTTGTCTCGGTTTTGCCCTTTAAAAGACTTGTTTTTGTCTTGGTCTCGAGCCTCAGAGGTCTTGGTCCCGGGACCTTGTGGTCTCGGACAGGTCTTGGTCTTGACTAGTGATTTCAGGATTTGTGTTAAACGTGCGAATGAAACAAAAACAAAACTCTGTGTGTTTGATGAGGAAACAAGATTAAAACATAGAACAGAAAATAGAGCAACACGGGCCTTTTAAAGATTTAAAGACCAAATTGTTTTACTTTCACGTGTTCAGGATTCAGCCTTTACAAACATTTATCAGTATTTTGCCTTTGTTCAATCGAAACCACAACATTGATCTAAAAGAGCTTCACAACAGAAACTGGATCATTAACTTCCTTCAGCAAATTTCTCATCTAACTTTTATTGTTATTGTTGAAAAAGGTGATTTTTTATTTTTTTTTTACTTACATATTTGACCTGAGTGTGAATTTTTCGTTGCCTGAACTAAACTAAACTGAGCAGTGGCAGAGATGAGGGGAAGGTGAAAACTGACATTTTCTTGAGCGCTTTAGTCTCAAATAGTGCAGGTATCATTAAGAAGTTGCCGATACGATACACATCTCGATACACAGACCACGATACGATACGCTTTTCGATACGGTGAGCATTAATTCAGTACGATTCGATACGGTTCAGTGTAAAAAAGGCAAAATCGTGGCTCTAAAAGTCCACTACAAGTTTATGCGAAGTGAAATGTGAAAAAAAAAACAATTTTATCCAAAACAGTGAAAATGTCAACACAACTGTAGCTCTTACACAAATTAATTTAGCAAAAAAATACTCTTGATGGATATATCGATACAGCAGCCCAAGATATCGATACTGTATCAGCACATTAAACAATACGATATATCGATATGTTGATATTTTTGCACATCCCTTAAGGGTCCGTTCACACCAAAGCGTCAAAAAACGCCTTGACGCCTTTTCATTTGAGTTTAGACGCCCCCGACGCTCGTCTTTGACGCCGTGGACGAACGGGAGAAAAATACTTGACGCGCGTCCGTTGCCCTGGAAACAAGAGCCCGTCCTGGTCTTTTCCCGAAACAATGTCAGACCAGACTGAGAGACTTTAGTGTTTTTATGACATAAAACATCAGTGGAGGAGATCGGGTCGACGACTGGGGCGTGTTTATATTTATACTCCACTAATGACACTGGATCAGTCCCGGTCTAGTCCTGGTCTAATCACGGTCTAGTCTCGGTCTAGTTCTTGTTTAGTCCCGGTCTAGTCCTGGTTTGGTCCCGGTCTAGTCTCGGGCTAGTCTCGATCTACTCCCGGTCCAGTCCTTGCTTAGTCCTGGTCCGGTCCTGGTTTAGTCCTGGTGTAGTCCTTGTTTAGTCCCGGTCTAGTCTAGTCTAGTCCTTGTTTAGTCCCGTCTAGTCCTAGTCCTTAGTTTAGTCCGGTCTAGTCCTTTTTAGTCCCGGTCTAGTCCTTGTTTAGTCTCGGTCTAGTCCTTGTTTAGTCCCGGTCTAGTCCTTGTTTAGTCCGGTCTAGTCCTTGTTTAGTCCGGTCTAGTCCTTGTTTAGTCCCGGTCTAGTCCTTGTTTAGTCCCCGGTCTAGTCCTTGTTAGTCCCGGTCTAGTCCTTGTTTAGTCCCGGTCTAGTCCTTGTTTAGTCTCGGTCTAGTCCTTGTTTAGTCCCGGTCTAGTCCTTGTTTAGTCCGGTCTAGTCCTTGTTTAGTCCCGGTCTAGTCCTTGTTTAGTCCCGGTCTAGTCCTTGTTTAGTCCCGGTCTAGTCCTTGTTTAGTCCCGGTCTAGTCCTTGTTTAGTCCCGGTCTAGTCCTTGTTTAGTCCCGGTCTAGTCCTTGTTTAGTTCGGTCTAGTCTCGGTCTAGTCCTTGTTTAGTCCCGGTCTAGTCCTTGTTTAGTCCCGGTCTAGTCCTTGTTTAGTCCCGGTCTAGTCCTTGTTTAGTCCCGGTCTAGTCCTTGTTTAGTCTCGGTCTAGTCCTTGTTTAGTCTCGGTCTAGTCCTTGTTTAGTCCCGGTCTAGTCCTTGTTTAGTCCTGGTCTAGTCCTCATGATCGGCTCGGTGATTGTGGTGTATATATTTATTCTCCGTTCATGTTTGTGTTTCTCGTTCTGGTTCTGGGGTTTTTCTTCCTGATAATAACGTCGCCGCGTCTCTGGATACTCGTCCCTGATTGGTCGACGCGGCGAGTCTGACGCGAAAAGTTCAGCATTTTCAACTTCTTGACGCTGACGCCTTGGACGCGCGTCTAGACCGCCGACGCCAAAACGCTCAAGAGGCGCCGCGTCGACACCAGATTCGCGCCGCGCTGACGCCGAAAACGCGCCGCAAGAACGCAGACGCTCTAGTCGCGCGTCCACATCGACTCTACATTGAAACTGGACGCTTTGACGCTTTGGTGTGAACGAACCTTTAGTCTCAAACGCAGGACAACACAGGATTATTCAAACATGCACGAATCAATCAAGCTGTTAACTTCGAGGGAACATGAAAATATATTTTACACGTCCGTTTGAGGAATAAAATCAGCAGAAAACAGCAGCAGACACAGGGAGAACATGCAAATGTGTAAACAAAGTTCCACGCGACGCACTTTTGCTCTAAACCCGTTTCTGCTCAGTGAATGTAAACAGACACTTTAAGTTTTGACGTTTCTTCCCGAGTGATGCTTGAGAGAAAATTGTACTTTATTTATTTTTAAAGGTGGTGACATCATGGAGTGGAACAGTGGGGAAAAAAAATCTATTAATGTAAAGCTGCTATGCAAAATTTAAAATAAAGGAAATAAACATTTTAATATTATTTTATTAAACAGGTTTGTGTCGTCTTTGTGTCAGTGAGTTGTTTTAGAGTTAAAGTTAAATAAACCAGGACTAAAACGGGACAGAATTAGGACTATAACAGGTTTAAACTAGAACTAAACCAGGACTAAACCAGGGCTGAACCGGGACTAAAACAGGATTAAACCAGGACTAAAACAGGACTAAACCGGGACTAAAACAGGACTAAACCAGGACTAAACCAGGACTAAAACAGGACTGAACCGGGACTAAAACAGGATTAAAAGGACTAAACCAGGACTAAAACAGGACTGAACCGGACTAAACAGGACTAAAACAGGACTAAACAGGACTAAACCAAGGACTAAAACAGGACTACTAAACAAAACCAGGACTAAACCAAGACTAAACAAGACTAAACAGGACTAAAAAGGACTAAACAGGACAGGACTAAAACAGGACTAACCAGGACTAAACCAAGACTAAACAGGAACAGGACTAAACTAAACAGGACTAAACCAGACTAAACCAGGACTAAAACAGGATAAAACAGGACTAAAGGACTGAACCAGGACTAAACCAGGACTAACAGGACTAACCAGGACTAAACCAGGACTAAAACAGGACTGAACCGGGACTAAAACAGGACTAAACCAGGATTAAAACAGGACTAAACCAGGACTAAACCAAGACTAAACCAGGACTAAACCAAGACTAAACCAGGACTAAAACAGGATTAAAACAGGACTAAACCGGGACTGAACCAGGACTAAACCAGGACTAAATCAGGACTAAACCAGGACTAAACCAGGACTAAACCAGGACTAAACCAGGACTAAAACAGGGCTAAACCAGGACTAAACCAGGACTAAACAGGATTAAACCAGGACTGAACCAGGACTAAACAGGATTAAACCAGGACTGAACCAGGACTAAACCAGGACTAAAACAGGGCTAAACCAGGACTAAACCAGGACTAAACCAGGACTAAACCAGGACTAAAACAGGACTAAACCAGGACTGAACCAGGAGTGTCGGGACGGGCCCAGAGTTGTGTCGGCGTAGACGGTCGGGTGATCAGGACTGACACCGGGACCAAGACCGGGACTGAAACAGGGACTTAGAACCGGGACTGGAACAGTACTGAGACCGGTTCAGTCAAATTGTACTTTTCTTTCTGCGTACTTTTACTCCTACTTGACTCATATTTGTATTGAAGTAGCAGTACTGTTACTTGAGTAAAAGTTGTGCTTCCTCTTCCCTCTGTGAGTCTAAAGTGACAAAATCTTTACAAAATGTTAGGAAAATATTAAATGATGAGTGTTTCTTGCAGTTCTCCTTCAGATCAGGTTTAGTAAAATATATTCTGACATAAAAACAAGTGCCTCTGCTCCAGGTTTTGAGCCACTCGTGTTTCTGAACAGAGGGTCGTTAAGGGAAAATTTAATTACGATGTTTTTCTAATTGAAAACAGTAATAATGTTAAATTTTCAGTTCCCGGTTTGTGTTTCAGTCGGGGATTCGTCGAGGCCACGTTTCATCTGAACTATTCTGCACCAATCTGGTTTCAGAACATGTTTGTGTCAGCAGATTTACACAGAATAAAACAACACAGGATTTATACACTGAAACAGGTTTAAAACAGGACTAAACCAGGACTAAACCAGGACTAAAAACCAGGACTAAACCAGGACTAAAACAGGACTAAACCAGGACTAAACCATTTGTAAACCAGGACTAAACCAGGACTAAAACAGGACTTAAAACCAGGACTAAACAGGATAAACAGGACTAAACCAGGACTAAACCAGGACTAAACCAGGACTAAACAAAACAGGACTAAACCAGGACTAAAACCAGGACTAAACCAGGACTCAGGACTAAACAGGACTTAAACCAGGACTAAACCAGGACTAAACCAGGACTAAACCAGGACTAAAACCAGGACTAAAACCAGGACTAAACCAGGTCTAAACCAGGACTAAACCAGGACTAAACCAGGTCTAAACCAGGACTAAACCAGGACTAAAACCAAACTAAACCAGGTCTAAACCATTTGTAAACCAGGACTGAACCAGGACTAAAACAGGACTAAAACCAGGTCTGAACTGGGACTAAACCAGGACCAAATCAGGACTAAAACAGGTCTAAACCAGGACTAAAACAAAACTGAAACAGGACTAAACCAGGACTAAAACAGGACTAAACCAAGACTAAACCAGGACTAAAACAGGTCTAAACCAGGACCAAATCAGGACTAAACCAGGTCTAAAACGGGACAGAATTAGGACTAAAACAGGACTAGACCAGGACTGAACCAGGACTGAAACAGGACTAAACCAGGACTAAAACAGGACTAAACCAGAACTAAAACAGGACTGAACCAGGACTAAAACCAGGTCTAAACCAGGACTAAAAAAGGACTAAAAGGAGACAGAAAGAGAGAGAGAGAGAAGGAGAGGGCAGGAGACAAAGGGAAAGAGAGAGGGAGACACACGGGGAGAGAGATGGAGGTAGGAAAGGAAAAGAGAACAAGACGAAGGGCAGAGCAGGTGGAAATATATATATACAGAGAGAGAGAGAGAAAAGGATGAAAGAAAAAGAGAAGAAAGAGCAAAGGTTGGATGGAGAGAGAGAGAGAGAGACGAGTGAGGAGGAGTGAAGGGTCACGGTGGTGTGGAGAGGTTCGTGTCTGCGCCAAATGAAAAGAGACAGAGAAGGAGAGAGGAGGAAATAAACGGATAAACAGACAAAGGCTAATCGAGCGATAGATCAGAGAGAAGGAGGGAGGGAGAGAGGGAGAGCAGGTGAAGAGAAAGAAGAGAGAGAGAGAGAGAGAGAGAGGGCGTTAAATGGACAAAAGCTGATTGCACCGATAGATCAGAGAGAGAGAGAAAAGGGTGGATGAAAGGAGGACAAATATACCAGATAAACGGACAAGAGCGATGATAGAGTGATCAGAGCGAAAGAGAGATGATGTCGCCTCGTCTGGAATGTTCCGGTGTGGCATTAAACGTGTCCGTAATTTGCATTTCCTCGATAAAAACGCTTTTTAAACGACTCCAAAACTTTGCCTTCTTACTGTGGGTGGGCTCGCCTCCCCGCAGATCTGACGCGTAACTCGGCCCTGCGGCGTCTCCTGCCGACGCCGTGAAGATAGACAAGTGTAATGCCGTATTGTGGAACATTCCTGGTGACGTCATGGGCATGGAAAGAAGCAGAAGCAATTTGAAACGTCGAATTTTTTGAATAGTTTTTTTTTTTTTTTTTTTATGCATTTGTTACGGGTGTGTGCGTTTATGTGTTTTTATGCACATGTTTATAATTTGTGTATTTTTCACTTGCGTCATTATTAATATAATTACTGTTACTTAATTTTTTTAAATTATTTTCTGGTCAACATTACTATGACTATTGTATTTTTATTTTATTATTATTATTTTTATTTATTTTTAAAATGCTTATTATTTTTTTCTAAATATTATTATCATCATCATTCATCATTATTATTATTATTATTATTATTATTATTATTATTATTATTATTATTATTATTATTTTATTATTTTATCATTATTATTATTATTTATTTATTTATTTA